TGTCCTGTGTTATTAAGCTCCTTGGCTATAAGCGCTTAGAGGAACATAGGAGGAATAATACTAAGCATTTTCAAAGCTTAGAGGTGATATCGTACGTACTTAAAACAATTCTAGAAGCTTCCACGTCTCTTTACAAATAACATCGTATATGCCAATGAAGCTATTAATTAATTCACAAATTTTCAAAACGTTTTATCCTTCCATGTTCAGCAATCCCGTAGGGTAACTTGACTATAATGTTAGATATATCGTTACCACAATGAGAGGTTGAATCCTGGCAAAACGTTGGACGCAACCTGCCATGCCAGATTGGCACATCTGTTCCGCTGTGGTGCCGGAAAACCGTCGTGGTGGTAGGAGCTGGAAAAGAGTGCGTTGCAAGACATCATCCTAGTCTTGTAATCTTAAAAACACCGCTCACCCCAGAGTTATTTGCTTTGATATCATCGATGTTATCGAGTTTGGATCCATCCTTTTCCAAATTTATTTCCTGCTTCTTATAGCTTTCCTTAACTTTTTCCAATTCTTTATCAGACGGTTTCTAGAAAATGTGAATTTTATGCCCATATGAACTACTCCAGAGCGGTGATATAATATGGCGCAGCAGTGTACAAGGAATAATGTTGGTAATTTTAATAACGATAGTTTATTTGAAGTTCTGAAGATAAAACGTTCAGAATCTTAGTAGTTCCACACTCTCCTCACGTTTGCGCACACGCAACAGTACCCCATGAGAAAATGACGGCGGATGCGCTTGTCACAGCCGAGCCAATGTCAATTGCCGGCAAATGGTGACATATATTTTTAAAAAACTTACTGTGAACTTGAACATTTCGTCGCTTTCATCTGTGTCGGCTGTTGAGTGCAATACTACGATGACGAACACTACGACAACAGCTGCAGCAAATAGTAGTAGTAACTTGTATCGCTGTCCTTCTTTCGGCCCTATTCTAAAAGGATCTCTGAAGCTTAGAGTCATTTCTCAAAAACAACTTATGTGGTTCATCAACGATGTGATTTGCTTTCAGTGGCATAGTATGTTTCCCCTCAATCACGCTATCAAATGAAATCTTTGGAAAGTGTTAAAGAA